CCGTCCGTATGAGGACTGGATGGCGTTCGTGTTGCAAAATTCGACGATTGAGGAGCAGCGAGGTGTTATCCGATTTCTTCGAGCACAGAAAAACCACTAACTCTGATGTGTACTGTGAGACACTCTGACGCCTACGCGGGTCCATCAAGAACAAAAGACCGGGGCTGCTCACGGAGGGTGTGGTTCTGCTCCATGATAACGCGCTTCCACACGTCTCCAGACTCGCAGACATGGAACTGGCCAAGTTCAAGTGGGAGATGTTGGACCATCCGCCCTACAATCCGGAATAGTCGCCCTGAGATTTCCATGTGTTTGGTCCACTGAAGAAACACCTGAAAGGGAAGCTCTTCAACTCGGACGACATACCCAAGGACGCTGTGAAGGACTGGGTCTCGTCACGACCACAGGAATTCTGGGAATAATTAATCCTGCGGCTTGTTCATCAGTGGGATCGCTGTGCTAAGGCCTATGGTGTATATTTTGAAAAAAGTCTACATATGTACCCACCGTGTCGTTTCGTACCTTTTCATTTGATCACCCCTTGTATATATGTATGTATGGAAACATTACAAAATATGAGAGTTAGAATGCAATATTACAAATAAAAATAAATGAAAAGCGTTGTAACTTGTCAGGAGCAAACAAGCCTATAAACCTTTAAAAGAAATGCTGAAGTTCCGTTATAACAACGCAACGAAGAGCAAAAGCTTTACGGTCCGTTGCTGTTGGCTGCATCTCAGTTAGAACTCGAAAACGCAAAATATAAAGAACAATTTAAATTAAAATCCAACAAAAACTTTTTAGTATGAAATCATTAAAAAAAAAATTGGGGGGGGGGAGGAGTATTTTTAAATTTGTTATATTTTGTGTCTTTAAGTAAGTGAAGGCCTACTGCACGAACGAAACGAAGCACGGTTTTTTAAAAAGGTATGTTTAGTTGTTGGTTGCTGATGAGTATACAATATTTTTTTATTGAAGTTATACTTCTTATGCAGCGGAGCAGGAAAAAGAGTCGTTGAATAGTGATTCTTCTACGACTGCTGATTCTTCTACAATTAAAGTCGCAGGTTGCGAAGTTTAACTTTTTCGCGCGGAGGGACTTCACGCACTATTTTTTTATATGATTTTATGCATATAGATATGCAAGTATATCAGTCCCGCAGTGGACTGATCGTTAAGACACGGTTCCCAGAAGAATAAGCGTCACTGGCTGCTCTCAGTGAGCGGGTGGGTGACCACTTGGATCAGCCTACGAAGGGACCGAAGGTGTGCGGTAACGGTTCTCGTTAAACTGTTCTACCGTAAAGTGTTCAACTTCGCGCTCAGGTCGTCGGGCTACCGAAGAGGGAGTGCTATCCCCTCTGGCGAGGATCAAAATTGTGATGGTATGTCTTCTTATCATCCTCAGGGGTATTTTTCCAGACAGTCGTCAATAGCCCATTGTGAGCCATGGTGGCTCAGGGGATAGAGCTCTCTCCATCCAATGAGGTGACCTGGGTTCGATCTCAGAGAAAACTGGTTGATTCGAATTCCATACCCGGCTCGCACCGATCACAGTGCTGATGTGATATATCCTCAGTGGTAGACGGATCATGAGTTAGAGTCCCTTGCTGTCAGGCTAACCGTGGGAGGTTCTAGTGGTCTTCCTCTCCATGCAACACTAATGCTGGTCACTTCCATCAAAAAGTCGTCCACGAAGGCAAATTTCTACCAATACTTGATCCAGGAGTTCCTTTGTCCTTTGGATTGAGTTCAAAATTACGAGGCTACGTAGTTGAACATTCATAGTCCTAACTAATCATGGCTGTCATGGACAACATCAGGTCAGGTTTTACGGGGGAGCTCAGCTGTGCCGTATGTGTCAGTTTGTTGAGGATTAGGAACATATATTAATCCACTGTACAAATTGTAAGCATTTATGTTATGGTTGATTTTTACTTGAATTTTCTCCTAAACTGTTTTTCGCGTCAATCTCTGCCCCTATGTGATTCCTCTTCTTGAATTTATAATCACTTGTGTTCCTAGAGTATATATATATATATGCCTTTTTTGTTTGAAAAAAATTCATGGAATTTGATACCTTAAGTACTGTTGTGCCAGTTGTAATTATATTCTGAGCTACAAACATCTTATATTTAACCATGTGAAATTGTTTCCTTTTCTTAACTATGCACCCCTACTGAAGATGCGACATCTCTTCTGATTGATACTGTTTATTTTCTTTGTAATGCTTGTTTGTATTTAGTTCATTTCTAAGTAACGCTGTTTTCTGGATTTCATATGTAATATTCTACATATTTGTTAAGACTCTAATTTGAAAATTTTGAATATGTTTGCTTATGTGATTGAACTGTAGCGCGCACTTCGAACTTTCGGAGTGTCCCCGGATGCCCCTTTACGGGGGCGATGCGGGGTTAAGCTAGTTATTCATAGTCGTAAACCCAAAAATTGGGTCGGCTCAACGATGGTTATAAAATACAAAATAACCCATTGTGCAGCACTAGTGCGATGTAAATAAATTGCAACTACAACAAGTATATCATACCAGTTTTTGATAAGACAGTAGCTTTGTGAATCTTTACTCCCTCGAAATGCACAGGCAAAGACGTCATTTCTCTGTTCTTCAGTTGAGCTAAGGCCTTCCAAGCTAACACCAGATAACCGGTTCCGGGATACAGATACCTTCCATCAATGTAATGACCTGATAAAAAATGATCAGGTGAGTCCTTTGGTCCGATATCAACTATCACCCGCTGACTGTGGGTAGGTTCGTCGAATCGAGGCACTGGCCAACTCTCGGAATGGTCCCATTGGATGAGAGGAGATATCATTGGAGTACCCCTTGGAGCTGGTAACCTAACTTCAGGATAGAGGTGGTCGATTTGAGGATTCAGGCCAGCGTTGTACAATCTGTAAAATAAAACAAATACTAGTTTTTTGAGAGGGGCATTTTGAAATGTATAGTGCAAGTTTCGGAATTTTGAATTGTACCTTCCAATGTTCATCAAAACATGCGGAATGTTGTCCACGTTTCGCTTCATCAGGCCAATGTACTCTGCATCGGGTCCGATGACTCTTTTCAGAATGGCCTGAAGAAGATGGTGCGGCCCTATTTCAATGACGATGGCGTTCTTCGGAACCTTTTGCAACGCTTCGTAGAACAGAACAGGAGAAACTAAGTTCTGTAGAAAGTAAGTAGCACCAGCAACCTTGGCTTCGGGATCTGACCATTTACTTTCTGGGTAGGTAGAACTAATCCATCGACTGGACCTTGGTTTAGGATTGGGTATGAGCTACTCAAAACGTAAACATAATTAATTATCTCATCTAAGAAATACAGTACAGTAAATTATTATGTGCACTTATCATTCAGGGCTCGAAAATTGCATTGCCCACCAAGTCACACAAAAATTTTTATCTGTAGCATCGGGTGCTGGTAGGGACTTCTTATACAATATGAGTCACTGCAAGTTGGAGTGCAAGTGCTTGTGTATCACAAAGTATGGGTGAAATTATAGGAGCAGGGCACAGCCGCAAGATTCTCAAAACACAATGATCACGTTGTGAGCCAAAAGGACTGCAAAATAGATCATAAACAGTAACCCGGAAGTATCGGCAGCCAAGAGCTTGAAGTGCGCCCATGTGTAAAAAACACTATCCATAAATTTTGCGTGCATCTGTCAAAAAATATTCAAATTTACTCTGTTTTCAAATCCAGGGGACAATTACCCTTTTTTTAGTCAGAAAGTAGTAGGCAGATTGATAGACTTTACTTAGTGATGATAGGATGAGGAGAATAAGTTCTGCTATTAACGATCAAAACGTCATCCAACACACAATTTTTAGTGTTCCTAAACTAAACTAAACTCAGTGGCGCGACAGCCCTTAGAGGGCCACGGCCTACTGTGCCCATCTCAGTTTTCTTGACCTTGGGCTCTGGGGTGCAGGAGCAGATGTTCCGGTCAGGTGGTCATCCGAAAGCGAAACCCCCAGTGTTTAGTTCTCAACCATGCTCGGTACTCATTTTTTGACCCACTAAAGGGATAAAAGGCTGATTTTTAGTGTTCCAGCTAATCTTAAATTTTCATGATAAGTTCGATTCGGCTATGAAATAATACAAAATTTCTCTTAAATCAGTCAGAAGATATTTAAAATTTGCTCAATAAAAATTTGAGTTTGTCGATAATGCGACAAAATCTTGATTATTGATCCAACCATTTTGTTTGCTTGAATTCTCTACTTCAGCAAGTCACTTTTCTGTAATTCGAAATTTTAGAATTTTTACTCTGAGATTCTTGTTTCTTTGCCAGACAATTGATTTTAAAAAAAACTAAAAATAGACGATTGAAAACTTTTAAATAAAAAAAAATTATGCTAAATTATGTATTATAACTGGAGAAACGAAACATAAAACTCTCCGTGTAGTAAAAGGTGACTGGTGCACGTTAAGTCTGGGAGCATGATTACAAAGCTCCCAGACTTAAAGTTATGGGAGCATAGTTACAAAGTCGCTTATGCTGCCACAGCAAATCAATACCTATGGAGGTACTATCAAAATTGCGATCTGTGGATTAATAAATGGATGTAAGAATGGTTACGCCCTATAAACGAGCTGTGTTATGTGCGTAGCTTAAGTCGTATTCTTGGTCATAGATGGGACCACTGGAAAACAGGAAACGCACCCTTTGCCTTAATTTTGCTTGGTCTCCCCATAGAGACTTACTGGTTGGCAAGTGGCATTAGAAACAACAACAAAGTAAGTGGTGCATTTAAAGCATTATCATTAGGGTAAAGAAATAACCTTTTGGAATTCTTGTTGAATTTTCGCAGCAGCAGGGTATACATATTTACTATGAAAAGCACAACCACTGCTGTCGACGTCTTTAGCAAAAATGTTTTTAGCTTGAAGATTCTTTACAAATTGTTGGACTGCAATTTTAGTACCAGATACAGTTACTGAATCTTGGGCATTATTGCAGGAGGGAAAAACACCTTCTGGGCAAAGTTTTTCAGCTTCGGACCAACTAACACCTGAAAAGGAGGAAAATCATTTTCAAAATTAGAGAAGATTAATTAAGACTTCTCTTGATGCATATTTATTCCGATTAACGGGACATTTTATTCAAAGAAGAATTTTTCTAATCAAGGGAAGTACACAATTAACAACGAAAATGTTAGTGATTTCGAGAATTATTTTCATTCCCTTGCATATCCTTTACATATCCTTTTCGTTTCCTTTTCATTTCCTTGCACTAATATAGTTAAACAAGGGATAACACTCAAAACATATCAAGCCTTTTATTTATATTGTGATGTTAAATTTATCAAATTTAATTAAAGCTCCCGACTTGTTAGAATTTATAAATTACAAAAAAACATTTATGGATGGTAAAATTACAAGCAAATTTAAACACAAATCACAATAATAAAACTTTCTAGAATATTAAGCCTGTTCACACATCGCCTCGTAAGCATAACATAAGCGGAGAGATACACCGGAGGTTTTCTAACTTTCTTCCGGTTTTAAGAAACTTGCTATTGTTTACACTCAGTCACATATAGTACGGCTTTCAGGAGAACTCCTCCAGACACCCGTCTCGCGTCGTTGGCGGGTACTATGGTTTGGTTACGAGGAAAGGTCACTTCGAATAGGGGTGTGGGGTGAATAGTTTTGTCTTAAACTTAGCGTTGGTCGTCGTAAATAAACCAATCGACACCTTCTTTCCTCCATTTCACCCCCATTATAAATGTGCTCTCGATTGTTACCATAGCAACAGACAGCCTCAGACTTTCAGTCTGGAGGAGTTCTCCTCAAAGCCGCACTATACTACAATCCATACTACAATGGTCATATAACAGAGAAATAACATGTTTAAAGAATTAAGAAATTCTTTTTTTTATTTCTTATTATATTTCTATTATATTATTTTACTATTTCGTTATTTGTTCAATTCTGTAAGCCATAAAATGTGTGATCATGTTTTTTAAGGGGGAAATTTTCAATTGAAAATGCCATGTTTACTGACTGCTATGGGTAAACGTACCTAAAGCGGCCATTGCTCCTTCTTCCATTGGAGTGTCATCTAATGTCCGGCCTCTCATGAATGCTGCTGTGATCGCCTCTTGCATAGAAAGGCATCCGTCAGCATAAGCACAGGTCAGTTCCCCTGCACTGTGTCCAGTGATGCCATCTGGTTTTATGCCAAGACTCGCCAGCAGATCGACCAAAGCAATCTAGACACAAAAGCCTGTTTTACTTTAAAGACACATTCGTGCATCTAACAATATAACAAGTGGCGATAAGGCCTCACTTTTTTCGTCACTTCATTTTATTATTTCAAGGAATTAATAAGAATATTTTTCAATATTGGCGATCGAAATGGGCAACAGGTGGAGTAGAGAAGAACTCTTTAGCTGTGGCAACACTTCGCGTGCTTTCACCATTAGCGTGTGGAGAGTCATAGGAGAAGGAAGTACGTTAGTTTCTCCCTTGAGTTTTAAATAGATTTAAAAATGTCAAGTCTGGAAACTGTATGGAACCGAAAACTACGTTGAACATAGTTCTAAAAGAAAGCGTCGCGGAAATTTTAAAAAAATATTTTTTCACGATTAAATACAAGAAAGGTCTGTTAATACAAAACTGTTAAATACCAAAGATATTAAGGCCGGGATTATATGACCGATTATACGATATTAGAATATATGACCGGGACAGCCAAATATTGGCTGGTAGGGCACTGGGCCCATGTCCAAGAGGTCGTGGGTTCGCTCCACGCCGACCGAGGACTCCCCATGTAGTAAATGGTGACTGGTGCACTGTAAATCTGTCAGGTAACAAAGTCCTCCATGTTCCCAGAACAAATCATACCTCTGGGAGTACTGATCCAGGAGTTTCCCTGTCGTCTGGATTGGTTCAAAATTACAAGGCTACGGAGTTGAACATTGGTAGTCGTAAACCCAAAATTGGGTCGGCTGTTCAACAACGGTTTTAAAAAAAAGAAGGAAAAAAAGATATTAAGAAAGGTATAGTAGTGCATTCCGATACAACTGTGAAGAGGAGGAGAGGGAAGGGAGGAGGGCCAAGATATGAAACCAGTCTTTTCCCCAGATGGCGATTTCGAGTGTTGCGATCACGAATCCTGTAAAAAAAAAAAAATTACACTTATTTCTTAAAAATTTTCTTCGTTTTTAGAAACGATCCTTAGTAGTGCTTAAAATGTTTTGAGATAAGTTTTAAAAGAAATATCTTAATTAAGTTTTTTTAATCGTTTAAAATTTTCAATTTTCGAAAAAAATGGCCACTTATTTTGAAATGTAGTCAGAGTTAAAAATGTTAAAATTGGCTATGTGGCCGGTAGCAAAATCTTCGAATTTCGCCCTGCATCTTTCAATAATACGCAGGTAGTTCAAATACAGTCTCCAACTTAAAGTCACATTTTCTCAAAGGAATTAGGAATTCCATCTAGAAAATGTGTCACTTCAAGTTGCATAGTCTTGGCTACTTTTATCTAATTTTCTTAAAAAATGAAGAACAAATACAGGTATGGATTAATAAAAATTTTCAAATGGTAACAAAATTATTTAGTATTAGAATAGAGAATGAAATTAAGAGGCAAACCTATTCCAGCACTCATGAAACGAAGTTGTTTAACCTATCTTTACAGAAATCGAATTTTTATTATAATACAGTGTTTAATGAGGTGAATAGTAAATATTATCGTTTGAAATATTTTTTGCTTTCAAACTTTTTAAGACTTATTTTATCCAAAGTAAAGGGAATATGTCTAGATTGCAGTCAAATTTTTGCATGAATCGGGTTGAAAATAAAAGAAATTTTAAATACGAAATATAAATACGAAAATATAATTACGAAAAAAAAATTTTAGTTAATGTATTTTACAAGACATATACTATTGTCGTCTAAATTGACAGAATTTCTCTTACGTTTACAAAAAAAATCATGTTATTTAAAAAAATCATTACTTATTGTTGTTTGGTTGAATAACACAGAGGCTAATGCCGTCAAATAAAGTATTTATTAAAACATAATATGAGGAAACAATAGTTCGCACACACAGTGCTACACATCTGAATCAACCAACAACTAGCCAGCTTCTTCAACAAATATATATATCTATTTCCCCTATCGGGAAGTCGTTGTATTACATCACGCAACTCGCGCAACTTATTTGAGAAGGAGAGGAAAAATGAGATTTTATTTGCATATTAACAACACTTATTATTATCATTATTTTTTTAAAAAATCATTATGCAATTAGCAAGGCTTTGTCGAAACAATAATGGCCCATTCATTGCATAAGTCATCATAAGTTCATACTCTAATTCAGGGAGGAAAAAATAATTTTTTTACTTCGAAAAATACCATTGCGGTATAGCATTTAAGTAATCCTCCGCTACTGCATATAGTTCCATTTTATTTCGTTATCAAACTATACAAATACGTTTTTGAAACAATATAAAAGCTTTTAAGAGTTTAATACGTCTGGCAGAAATTAATTCGTGCCATCCTTTATGATATATAACATGGAATTATTAAATAGAAAAGGTTATAGTTTCGTAGTCTTACTGGAATGCGAGACTTGGCAACATATTTCAATAAATAAGAACATTCTTTCTTTATAAAGAAAAAAATATATGGCGTTGAAAGAGCATGTGGATTTGATTGGACCACTAAAAATGGCGTGTCTTATACTGACATGCCCTTAACAAATCAAATACGAGATAAAGAATTTTTACTTTCGTTTCACTGTAGAAGAAAATCGTCAGCAATAAACAATATTTATTATTCTTTCATCAGTTTTCAGACATCATTTTTATAGATTCTTATTACTAGTTAATTGATTATTGTTGCTAATAACTAATAACTGTTATTATTATTAATAAGAAATCAAGCAAAATAGAGGTTCTGCAACTTTTTTGGAAAAGTTGGCGTTGTTGATATATGTTCGCGCTGGAAGCTTGGCATCCATTTGGCGTGTACTTAAATGCAAACAGGCTTTCTCCATATAGGGATAAGGGTTTTTTCTTAACTTGCAACAAAGCATAAAATCACATAACAATTTTTTTTACCATTATGTTGCATATGATAATTAGTATATAACAAGAATGGTACTTCTCCGTTAACCGGGCGCAAGCGAAAAAACGCCAAATAATGTAGAATTCTGCCAAATTTATAACAGCCATAAGGGGAATGTTAGTTTGGGGCCACGTGATCTATTTTCTGAATTCATTCAAAACAAAGAACGTTTTCCTTTCTTTTTTTCATCTTAATTTTTGTTTTAAAAAATGATATTATAAGCATTCTTTTTGGGTAAAACTGTTTTGTTTACAATGCATTAATATTTGTTTATAGTAGAACGTTTTTGACTTTTATTCCGTTGGCTGTTTTGTAATTCGCTCGGCGACTTGGCTCACGTTCACAATTGGCAACATTTGAGCCCGGCAAGCGGAAAAGTACCATAAGAATAAAAAGGAATTACTTGAACTGTTGCTATGGAGACAAAATCTGAAGTGATGGTTCTGAATTCTTTGGTGACCCAGTCCATAAGATCTACCCCATAAGGTTTTAATATCTCAGCGCATTTCTTGATGGATTCAGCAAAGGGGTTCAAATTCAAGAGACTCTTCGCCATACCAGACCAATGAGTACCCATCCCAGAGAATATATACCAAACGGGTCTTTTCTCGTGAGGAACTTTCTGTAAAATATAATATTACACACTACAATCACCAAAATAAATACTATCTGCAGACATAAAAATCGCACAAGAACAATTGGGTACTTGCACTTCGAGAAAATCTAGATCAAGCATACCCACACATGTGTCTTATGACATCAGAGCCGGCTGATCTTAATTAAACAAAATGGCGTGTCAAAGTTTTCCGCATAAGTTGAAAGTTAGTTAACGTGAAGTTAATTAAATACAGCATCGTATCGCACATGGAATTTGTTGAAATACAATTCTTTCTTAGATTTATTATTTGCTTTTGTATTTTATTGTAACAAGTGATATATTTTTGCTTTGTGTACCTGGCAACTTCGATGCATAATTAGTTTGTTTATGTTCTACATGGCTTCATGCCTGTTTTTGAGATAAATAAGAAATACATGGTGAAAGAATTGATAATCATTGTGAAAGAATCTTTGTGAAGGATTATAGAATGTATCACTTAAGCAGTGACCCCCCTCCCCCCCCCAAGCTCTTGGGCGCATTCTTGGACTAATTCTAAATTCCCCCTAAACTATTCGCTTTATTTAGTGCAAAAATTCCCCCCTCCCCAAGCTTTAAGTGGGCGCATCGTGCGCCCACCTTCCCCCCTGATGGGGGCCCCTGCACTTAAGAGAACTGATACTTGACGGGATAAGTTAACTGGAAACAGGATGGAAAGAACAGTTGCTAACGTAAGCAAAGTCACGTTTTAACAACCAATCAGGCTCGTCACACTACATCACTTGCAGGTATGTGGTATCAAATGTGCAATAATAAAAAATAATAAAAAAAGAATCGTCGGGTAGACTATATTTGAGGGTGCCTCTTGATTCTCGCCAAGTTGTGATCGCCAAGGTGGGCGATGTTGAAACCCAATCATGATTCTGATTGGTTCAGATTTTAGCGTTATTTTTAAATGTTCAACGGTATATGTAATTTCAGAGGTTCGTTAATTCTACGTTGGATACCGGCTAGTTAGGTTACTTCTGCTTCTGGTCAATAAGATCGAAGGTATGTGAGCAGTCATAAAAAGGGACTATTGAAAAAAATTTCACTGCCTGTCTGGTACCACAAACGCCATTTTCGATTCGTATTTCGCCGAATTTATGTGGCGATGGAGGAACACATATTCTATTCTTTATAAATTTAGACAGTATCTAACTGCTATTAGGGAATTTTGCGGACCTAAATCTGAGGATATTCAAGCTTAATGAAGAAGTGAGTTGCTTTTTTCCTTTTCTTTCTGTGCTTATTCAATTAATTTTTGTTTCGATTCAAAATTCATCTTATTGGGTTTATTAGTTTTGCTTATATTGGGTTAATTGCAATTTTATAAAGTTTTGGCAGATGTTTTGTTGAAATTTTCCAATGTTTTATTGAAATATTATTATGTTTTGGCCATTATTCCTGTTACCATGGTGTTCCGCGCAAACAGGAATGGCGCCAAACGTAAGTCGCCAATTTCGCTAATGGGCACCCTCAAGTATATTTTTACCGAATCGTCGTACAGAAACATACAAACGCACTTTTGAACCGCTCACTTTTGAAATGTTATTATAATCGAATTTTTCACTTTGAACTCAACATGTTTGTCAGGATCGGTCGCTGTGGATTAATCTGTTCTATTTGAATGGATATGAAAATATTTCTGTCCATATTTCTCTTCTTTTTTTTTCCTTCTGAGGCTGGCTTAAAATGACTCGAAAACTGCCAACATAGTGAGCCAAATTCGCCAATCCTATTTGATTCTTCAAACCCACTGAGTAAATAACATCATACTCAGCTAATTATTACGCATCGTTTTAGCATATCTGGCCAATAGCAACCAATTACTGTGCTTTATTTAAAAATTAATTATTTCGATAAATATTCATACATCGTTCGCTGTTTCATAATTATTAATTTATTAGATTTTTAGTATAATCCATTATAATATTTAATGTCGGGATAGCTCGAGGTATAGAACGCTCTTTTCCAATTTAATCCAATTTTTTTTATTCTTTCCAATTTTTTATATTTAAAAAGTTATTCGAACGTTGTCTGGGCTCATTAACACTTACAGAAAAAATAGTGACTTTCCGTCTAAGTATCGAATTGGCGAGACATAACAATTTTTTTCGCGGTTGCATGAGATTAATTAATTATATTTTTAATACAATCCATTATAATATTTAATTTCGGAATAGCTCGAGGTATAGAACGCTCTTTTCCAATTTAATCCAATTTTTTTTATTCTTTCCAATTTTTTATATTTAAAAAGTTATTCGAACGTTGTCTGGGCTCATTAACACTTACAGAAAAAATAGTGACTTTCCGTCTAAGTATCGAATTGGCGAGACATAACAATTTTTTTCGCGGTTGCATGAGATTAATTAATTATATTTTTAATACAATCCATTATAATATTTAATTTCGGAATAGCTCGAGGTATAGAACGCTCTTTTCCAATTTAATCCAATTTTTTTTATTCTTTCCAATTTTTTATATTTAAAAAGTTATTCGAACGTTGTCTGGGCTCATTAACACTTACAGAAAAAATAGTGACTTTCCGTCTAAGTATCGAATTGGCGAGACATAACAATTTTTTTCGCGGTTGCATGAGATTAATTAATTATATTTTTAATACAATCCATTATAATATTTAATTTCGGAATAGCTCGAGGTATAGAACGCTCTTTTCCAATTTAATCCAATTTTTTTTATTCTTTCCAATTTTTTATATTTAAAAAGTTATTCGAACGTTGTCTGGGCTCATTAACACTTACAGAAAAAATAGTGACTTTCCGTCTAAGTATCGAATTGGCGAGACATAACAATTTTTTTCGCGGTTGCATGAGATTAATTAATTATATTTTTAATACAATCCATTATAATATTTAATTTCGGAATAGCTCGAGGTATAGAACGCTCTTTTCCAATTTAATCCAATTTTTTTTATTCTTTCCAATTTTTTATATTTAAAAAGTTATTCGAACGTTGTCTGGGCTCATTAACACTTACAGAAAAAATAGTGACTTTCCGTCTAAGTATCGAATTGGCGAGACATAACAATTTTTTTCGCGGTTGCATGAGATTAATTAATTATATTTTTAATACAATCCATTATAATATTTAATTTCGGAATAGCTCGAGGTATAGAACGCTCTTTTCCAATTTAATCCAATTTTTTTTATTCTTTCCAATTTTTTATATTTAAAAAGTTATTCGAACGTTGTCTGGGCTCATTAACACTTACAGAAAAAATAGTGACTTTCCGTCTAAGTATCGAATTGGCGAGACATAACAATTTTTTTCGCGGTTGCATGAGATTAATTAATTATATTTTTAATACAATCCATTATAATATTTAATTTCGGAATAGCTCGAGGTATAGAACGCTCTTTTCCAATTTAATCCTTTATTTGTTATCTTTCCAATTTTTTATATTTAAAAAGTTATTCGAGCGTTGTCTAGGCTCATTAAATCTTACCAAAAAAAAAAGAGTGACTTTCCGTCTAAGTATCAAATTGGCGAGACATAACAATTTTTTTCGCGGTTGCATGAGATTTTTTTAATGGATCTTGGCTATTTTCTCGTAGCTGATTTCAAACATGCAATCGTTTTCCTCTCCAAGCTACGGTTTTTTTTTTAAAAAAAGAAATTAAAGTTTAAGTCTATTTTTTACCGAAATGTATAAATTTAAAAACTTTATATACGACTGGTGGCTTCAAAATTGTTGCGACGAACTTCCTGGCGAGTTACGCACATCATCCGAATTAAAACTGTTCAGGAACTCTTGCACGGAAATGTCGTCATAAGACGGTAGGGAAACTTCGCTACTATGAACTGTTTCTTCGTTTGCTTCTGATCCGGTCATACTAGAACAGCGTCCCTAACCAATACCTCCTAGAGAGGAATCGGTTAGGGTTCTTCCCATCTAGGAGGTATTGCCCTAACGCCGTACTATAGACCTTTCCGGGCAAGGGTTTCAACGCAATTTTAATCCTAATGATGTGCCCTAACTCCCATAGAAGTTTTGAAACGCCTTTTGAAAGAAATTCAACTTGAGGTAGGTATTTTATTGACGTCGCACTGGAGCTGCACTTTGGGCTAATGGCGACGGTCTAGGAAACACCCCTAAGGACGATCCAAAGACGTGCCTTTGCAATTTCCATCCTCTGCAAAGGGGATGGCTCCAGTGCTTTGGTAGCCCGACTACCTGAGCACGAAGTCGAGCTCTTCACAGAAGAATAGTTTAACGAGGACCGATACCGCGCACCCCCGATTCCTATCGCAGGCTGATCAAAGTGGTCACCCACCCACTTACTGACCGCAGCTAGTGATGCTTGACTTCGGTGTTCTACTGGGAACCGTGTCTTTACGATCAATCCACTGCGGGACAAAGTACAACAAGAAGAGAATTAAGAAAATTGGAAAAGTACCTTAATACCTGACAGGGCTTGATGATCGATGAGTTTGTAACCTCTGAAGGGTTTGGATGAAGTATAAGCACAGCTGCTGTGGAGCAGCTTGAAGAATTCTCCAGGCATGTCCTTCTGCACCTGACGGAACATGTATTGCACGCTTTCTTCCGTTCTTCCAGAGTAAAGAACCAATTGAGGTATCATCTGCTTCGATACCGAAACATCTGTGTTGGATTTGAGAACTGCGTGCACGTTCACCCCACCCAATCCATAGGAATTGATAGACGCGTAAGCACCGTTCCAAGGAGTAGGTTCCGTCACTATTTTGACTCGACCATCGAAGAGGGCTCTTATATTAGGATTTGGATTTTTGAAGTGCAGATTCGGAGGTATCATTCCTTTTTCCATTGCTATGATCACCTTAACAGCGCTGCAGAGTCCTTAAAGTAAATGCATTGCGACAGTAAACAAAAAGTAAAATAATTGCAGTTATTTTTTTTTTATTTTATAACCGTCGACGAACAGCAGAGCCAATTTCGGGTTTCCGACAACCAGTGTTCAACTCCGCAGCCTTGTAATTTTGTATCCTATCCAGGGACCCTACCATGAGCTCCATGGAATGAAATTCCATCTGGGAATGACGTCACGTTTGAACGGGAATTATTTTTCCCCACCACGAACACCTTGGAAAGAGTTTCTTGGCAAGAAACAACCGGTTTTCTTTCCAGCCGGTGTCTACTGCCCGGAATCCTCATTCTTGGGTGGAATGGTGAATTTTTGAGAACTAAATACGATATTTCGCCGATGAATGTCTTAATTATTTTCTATTTCATAAGGGAAGATTTCAAAATATCTAAAAGATAAACGTGCCAGAGCCATTTTCAAGACGATAATTAAGAGATGTTTTGTTTCGTGTGAACGAAAAGATACTTTCAGAGTTAACTAAGAAATTACAGCAAACTAAATATGATTATGCTCTTATTATATGATAATTGTTACTATTTTTATGTTATATTACCTGGGATATATAACTTGACCAATTCCTTTTCTTGAAGTTCCAATCATTTCTATTTTTAATTTTCTTTCGATGAACTTATAATTCAACAGTATTTAGCTTCATTCCGAACGATAGTTTTTTATACTGTATACAGATAGCAGCAAATTTAAAGGAATTTGTTACAGGCATGATGTATTTTAAAGTAAACAATTTATTTATAATAAGAAATGCGAAAAAGAATAATGGGAAAAGTAAATAGAATAAAAATGCTTCGAAAAATATTTATGAAATATGTACTTACTTCTTCTTTTACTCATTTTAAAATCTTTTATTCTCATTCTTCCATTAAAATATATACTATAAAAGCTGTGGAAGTAGTTCCTTAAACTATAATTTTTAAGTATTTCAAACGTGAAATGATTTTACAAATCGCGAAAATTTTGTTTACACAAATCTATAAATTAATTTCTTGTGAACATATTTATTTAACTATCAGTAAAAACAGTCACTTTAATAATGTAACAAATAAACCAAAGTAATAAGCAAAATAGTAACTTTAGTCATTCATATTGTTACAAATTTAATTGAAAACTAATGAACTTTTCTGAAATTAAGTTAATTTCTAAGAGACCGATTGGTAAACGTTAATTTTTTGTCTGATAAAATTTTATTTCCTTCCGGCAATTAGTTTTTATTTCAAAACTAGTATAATCAGTAATCTATCTACATGCAGTACTCAGGCACGAAATTTTGAATCTTAATTCATTAAAATATGATCATTATTTTAAGAGTTGTACTTTTTAAAAAATATTTAAAACAAATAGTGAAACGCACTAAAGGATATATCAGAAATATTTATTATGAAAAAATGGTTTTATTCTCTGAATTATACATGTTAAATATGACAGTTTTTAATTAGTAATAAATTATATGTATAATAAATTAAAGAATATTTCAAAGTATTCGCAGTTTATGTTTTTTTAGTCTAATGAAAACAAAAAACATTATTAAAAGAAAACAATAAATCGTCAAAAATATTATCTAAATAGCAGAAGCTCGTTTCGTTTTACTCATGCCAAACTTAAAAAGAAAATCTTAAGTAAATTGTGTGATTGGTTAAATTTTAGCCACGCCCTGAGAGAGAGTTATCGTGGAATGTCTGATTACAAGGGAGTGTTCATGGTGCGGTATTGAGCGTTCATGGAACCAAACTTTCCCAGTTTCACCTTACAGCCGGGAATCTTCATTCCATTCCCGGTAGTTCATGGTAGGCCCCTGGGACACAAGGGAACTCCTGGATCAAGTTTTGGGAGAAATTTGCCATCGTGGAGGACTGTTTGAGGAAACTAACCCACATTTGCGTTACATGAAGAGGAAAACCACGAAAACCACCCATGGTCAATTCGTAACGACCAGCCATTTGCTGGGATTCACACCCGGTTCACCTCATTAGAAGGCAAACGCTGCATCTCCCGAGTCATCAAGGCTTAATTGGGATTAATTAGAATTTTTAAGTTGTTAAAATTCACGTCATTATCATTTTTTCATAATCTGTGCGTCCCGCAGTGGACTGATCGTTAAGACACGGTTCCCAGCAGATCACCGAAGTCAAGCATCACTGGCTGCGGTCAGTGTGCGGGTGGGTGACCACTTGGATCAGCCTGCGTAGGGACCGAGGGTGTGCGGTATTGGTCATCGTTAAACTGTTCTACCGTAAAGTGCTCGACTTCGCGTGCAGGTCGTCGGGCTACCGAAGCAGGGATGCCATCCCCTCTGCAGAGGATCAAAATTGTGATGGCATGTCTTCGGATCATCCTCAGGGATGTTTCCCAGACAGTCGCCAATAGCCCATTGCGCAGCTCTAGTGCGACGCAAATGAACAAAATCACATAATCTGTGCATATTGAATTTCAGGAGATAGAGTATTCAATGGGATATCCCTGGGTTTTAATTCAAGCAAAGGCTGATCGATACGAATTCAACACCCGGCTAGCACCGACCACAGTGCTGACGTAAAATATCCTCAGTGGTAGATGGATCATGGGTTAGAGTCCCCTTGCCATCAGGCTAACCATAGAAGGTTCTCGTGGCTTTCCTCTCCATGCAAAATAAATATGGGTTAGTTCCACCGAAAAGTGAAGGTAAATTACTTCCAATACTTGATCCAGGAGTTCCCTTGTCTTCTGAATTCAAAATTAAAAGGCTACGGAGTTGAACATCGGTCATCGTACACTCAAAATTGGGTTAGCTGCTCAACGGCGGTTATAAAATATACAAAATTCTGCACATATCTTAGTTGGAAATTTGATTATTTTATTGCTTGGAATCTTTGTACCTGCCAAATAATGTAAACTGTGTTCACTAAACCTTTCATTATAATCTTTTCCCTTTAAAAACGTCCTATAACGTCATCGTTTAAATTTTTTCCTTAAGTATTCGTGATCTCCGAGCTCGAATACGCCATCTGGGGGAGAAGATCGGCTCCATGTCTTGATCCTCCCTGCTTCCTTCTCTTCTTAGTTGTATAGGAATGCATTTCGATAATTTCCTCTTTCTTAATATTTTTTTCATTTAATTGTCGAAAACATTTTTCAAAATTACTACAACGCTTTTTTTTAGAACTATGTTCAATGTAGTTTTAATTTCCATGTAGTTTCCCAACGTAAAAGTTTTTAATCTATTTGCTTAAGACAGAAACTAACGTATTTGCATCTCCTATGACTTTCCACATCCAAAATTTGAAAGCATGCAGAGCCTGACTAAGGCAAGAGCATAAGGGGCAGTTGCCCCTGGCCCCCACATCAGAGGGGCTCAGCAAATCAAATAGAAAGTTTATTTTGCGTTTCCCTCTTTATTGAACTTTTTTTTAACAAAATATCAGTACAGTGTAAAATCCGTCAGTTATATGTTAACTTCTTCATTAATCTATCGTATGAACACAAAAAATCTATATTTCGTAAATCCATGTCTTCCTAGGGCGGAATTCAGCTAAGTTTTCGGAATTACAATGGACAAATTTGGCCAATCAAAAACCTGTATTTTTGCATATCGTAAAATGTGATATATTTACGAAAATGCGGGATTCTGATTAGCCTAATTAAGCTATTGTAATTGCGAAAATTTACCTCAATTCTGTCCCAATGTTAGCAAGGATATGAATTTTTCAGAACTAGATGACTAAGATCTAGTAGTAGCACCTTTTGTTACGCCGCATAGTAGGCTACTCGCAATTGAAGCACTCGAATACGCCATCTAAGGAAAAGACATGCCTTACATCTTCCCTCTCCTTCTCTGCCCAGATGCATTGGAATGATTCCGCCTTCTTTAATATTAAATTATCTCTTAAAATTATAAAAAATATCTCGCTATTAAATTACCAAAAATATCAATGAAAATTACCTCAATGCTTACACTAAGCACTATGTTTAATCCATATAGTTTTCAAGCTTAAAAAATTTTTGAAAGGAAAACAAGAATCAATCAGACGAAGACAGAAACTAATGTACTTCCTACTACTATGACTATCCACACGTTAATGGAGAAAGCATGCCTAGTGTTTCCATAGGTAAAGAGTTCTGTATCCTGTAGCCCATTTCAATTGCCATTTGGTTGTTGTTGTTGGCCATTAAGGCAAGGAATGCGATTGTTTTTGTCTTAAAGTGACCAGGAATTCGACTTCTGTCACACCTTTCATGCACCCAATAATTCATCCACAGATCGTAATTTTGATCTGAACCAGAGAACAATCAATCATCAATTCAGTACCTCCAGAGGTATAATTTGTTATGGGAGCATGAAGGTCTTGTTGACCTGACAGATTTAACGTGCACCCGTCACCATTTACTACATGGTGAGTCTTCGGAAAGCTGGAATGGAACTCACGAAAAGAAGTACAGCGCCCTGACAACCAGGCTATCCGATCGCCAATTGGTGACGCCCCAATGTCTTAACAGTTTTAATCCTCTTCAGGTGCTTTGGTAGCCCAACGAGAAGACGGTCTATCGATATCGGAGAATGAGTAAGGAAGTAGCGAACAAACTTACCAGATGCTGGCTCAGTATGCCCCATGTTGCTCTTGACACTGCCAACTAAAAGTGGCTCTCTCCTCTGCCCCGAACAGAATATGTCTGTTATTGTGTTCATTTCGATGGGATCTCCAACCGCTGTGCCCGTTCCATGCGCTTCCACATAAGAAACCTCCAGAGGATTCAGTTTGCACTCTTCATAAACTTCTTCAATCAAACGCTTCTGCATTTCAGTTGACGGATGGGTAATGCCTGAAGAGAAAATTCGTCAAGTGCTTTGACTAGACAAAAGGAAAAAGAAACAGCGGAGCAATAATTACCCTCTTTTTTGAATCCATCGGTGTTTGTTTTGATGTGAACAATGGATGCGTACTTTCGCCTTGCCATCGATGATTTTTGTAGGAGAAAAGTAACAATAGCTTCACTTCTTCCGTACCCATTGGCTGTTAGAATTGCAAATAATTAGAGTAGTGGAATAAATGGGTTAATGCTGATTATGATTATAAAGAATCTATTAAAATGTATCGTGGCTATCTATCTATCTATATATATATATATATATATATATATATATCTCTTACACGGCGACAAAAAAAGCCTCATTACAACTCCCCGAATGGCAACGCTAGAAAATCGACCAATGATTGCCGCTAAATATGTCACATGCCAAATCTAGCTGAGGCGGCTCAACATAGAACGCTTTTAAAAACGGAAATATCCGGAGAGAGCATTCTCATCAAATGTGATCTCTTCCGAAATGCACCCTATCAGCTGCGGCAATCTCATACTATTAAGCTAGGCAGAAGTGAGTAGTCTTTGTCGATAGATCTCTATTTTAGTATTTTGTCGAAAGCGCTTTTTTTCGCGAATTTAGATATGACGAATTTTGATTTATATCACGAATTATACTATAGCACATTTCTAATAGGTTTAACGAATTACATGTCATTTATTTGAATTCAAATTTATTTTAATGACTTAGTATTT